TGTTGTGTTTTTCTCTTAAAATGTTTTCAAAACACCATGTGAAGTATTTTTGTTTGACACTAGTTTGACCCATTATAACATTAGTATTAAACATATTATTAATATATTATATATTAATTATAATAAAATATATTATAAATAAAATATTTTAATATTTAGTTTACATTATTATAGTATTATAAGTATTAAATGTAATTCAATATAATATTGTATAATATATTATAATATTATATTGTACTTTAATGAGTTATATTATATTATAAGTATTACATATTATTTTCAAATAATTAATTATATATTTAATTATTTTGGTGTATCAATTTGTTATTGTTGTATATTATATTAATGTTTTATAATAATATTATTTCAATATTAACATAATATTATACTATTATTAATATAATATTATATTATACTATTATTCATATAATATAATATTATTAATAATGTTAATATTATGTTATTACTAGTACGTTATTAATAAATTAATATATTATAAATATTTTAATATTATATAATATATTATAGTTTTTAATATTATTATACTTAAAACATCTAAAAGGTGTTTTGAAATAAGTGTTGTGTTTTTGGTTTGAGGATGATTTAGCTCAAAAAACATCATGGTTTCTAAACGCATGATATTTTGTTTTTAGCAAAAACACCATGGAAACAAGACACGATGGTATCCAAACGGAGCAGCTATTAAAATACTATTTTAAAATAGAAGTGAAATTGGTTAAAATAGAATTATTATAGGTTTAACGGTAAATTCAATAATATTAAAGGGTTAATAGTCCTAAAATCAGCATGTGAGTGTCAAATGAGAATTTTCGGTGCGAAATTCCTTTTGTGCAACATTATGGTAGTAAAATGTAATTTTTAAAAAGTTTGGGGTATGAAGTGCTGATAGAAACAAATAAAGATTATATATCTGCATAGTAGGGAAACCTATGGGGTACTAAAGTGCAATGAAGCCATGCTTTTAAGAATGATATAAATATGTAAATTGTTATATACAAAATTATATACACCCACACACACAACACACACACGTAATATCGATTTTTTTTTATTTTTGGGTGGTGGGGGCAAAGCCCCAAGAACTTGTGCATAGCTCCACCATTGATGATCTTCGTCCATCTTCAACATTGAAAGGAGGGAATTTGGAAGTTTCTCACCCTTCAAATGCCCTGCACGTGCATGGGACAAGTAGCCATCTCACATTTTTGAAGAAGATAATAAAAGAGGGAAAAGAAAAAAAGAAAAAAAAAAGGAAAAACAAGATTGTACGTGGCATCAATTTCAAGGGTCCTCTCAGCAGAATCTCAGCCAAAAAAAAATTTGAGAACCAGTTCGTAGGGTTAGATGAGCTTGGGACAACAACTTGCAAGGTAGTTCCAAAGACCCAATTAATTGAATGGCATTTTATGACATGGTATTATTTTTACTTTTCGTTTTTGCCCCGTACTTTCATTTATGAAAATTTAATGAAATAAACATGGTAGAGTTACACAAGTGTACAACCTTCGATGCCACTGTAACCGTGAAGTTGGCTGTATTGAAAGCCACCCACCGGTGGCTCATATTAAGCCATAATTTGCCAGACCTCTCTGTCGACTACAAAGTCCGAACACACTGATGAGTCCCACATAATTTGGACGTGTTTTTGAGTCTTGTTTGGATTCGGATTTGGGAGTTGTTTGGCTAGTTGGACTCATGTTTGGATTCGAATTGCGGAGTTGTTTGGCTACTTGGACTGGAATTTAAGGGAGGCTATAAATAAAGATTGCTAGCTAGGGTTTCTTTATGTATATTTGGCAAGAAATTTTGATATTTGTTTCGGCTTCATAAGGAAAAGAGATTAGTGTTTCTACTCTGCTCCATCTTCATTGTGACATCTTGATAAATAATGGATTATCAATCTCGTCGGTTGTGGACGTAGACATCTTGCCGAACCAAGATTAATCATTGCCTTCTCTTTGTGAGATGGTTGCATGTCCGCGTTTGTCTCTACAGTAACTGTTCTCAACATTTTTATGCGCATGCAAAACTCATGTAATTGTGTAATTACTATATGTTTGACTACATGTCTAATCATGTGCGTGGTCTATGGATGTCCTTGTAAAGTTTGAGACGGAAATTAATTTCATTCATGCCATTGCTATGACAAACCAACATGTCATGATGTTTCGAAACGATTTCAAATGATACCCTCTTTAGCTACTTCTTGAACTACTCATTTTGTCTTAGTGCGAATCTTGACCCCTTTGTGCAAAATTCAAAGATGCTACTTCTCCAACTATTCATGGGGAATACCGCGAGTCTTAGATTTAAAATGATATGAAAATTAATCACCAGATAAATTAATGGGTTCGATGAAAATGGAAAAATTTGCAAAATAGACCTATTTTGTTAAATGATTTAATCCCCCATTAAATCATACGGGACTACTAGTCTCGTATGTTTCGAATGTTCCGCTTTGCAAAATCGATCTCTTTTTGGCCTGTTGGCCAAAAAGATGTCTATTTTGCTAAATATTTAGCAAAACGGTCTGTTTTGCTAAATATTTAACAAAATAGGTCTATTTTGCAAATTTCTTCAAAATATCTTCGATTAAAGGTGTTCGGGTTTTTTAATAGCTGTCTAATATCTCAAATATACCACGTCTGATGGCCCCCTAACTGTACAAAAACACATCAATAATGATGATTATTTCATCTTGCTCATTTGGAGATGAAAATGTGAAAACCTTAATAATGGATATTTGTATTATGAAATAAAAGCATATACCTTCACATGCCGAGGGATCTCTACGCATCTCATCGCCCCCTCCAAACTCTGCAGACCCCATCCCTCGGAAGTTGGAACGCCAACTTATCTCACCAACTTGTAGGTAACGGTACTTAATTATAAATTCCAATCCCATTTATTTTAATGGGTTTTATTTATTTATTTGTCAAGAATTTGCTTAGTAGGATAGCCATCCACATCATCAAGTGAAACTTATGAAAGAATAGACCAATTGAAAGATATATTAGATCTAATTAACTCACACCAACAATGTGACGTTAGCCTTGCATCTCCCCCTCACCAAAAGATCCATGGAACCTTCTTTTATTTATCTTTTTTGGTGAAGGTTGTAGGATGTATTATGGATAAATCAAGCAAAAATTAACCTATTATCTAGTTAGTTGTTTGGGATAAATTATGGCACTGTTTGGCAACCAAAAAAAATATCTTATCTAAGAGCTTGTGTCTTATTGACTTGGTCAATAAGCTAGTAGAGCTGTTTGGTGACAAAAAATAAGAGGAGATTATTTTAGAGATTGTGTCTTTTGCAAGTAGTTTTTGAAAAACTACCTCAAGTAGCGTTTGTCTTTAGGAAGGAGCTGCCAATTTTTGTCTTCCGTTTTTGCCCCTAATAATTCTAATTTTATATCAATAATATTGCATGTCTTTTTTAGTCATTTAACAAACTTAAGCTAGTTGTACAGCTACTTTTGCCAAACAGCTCTAGTCAATCAGCTAGCTACACAGCTAACAGCTTTCAGCTACAATTTAACAGCTTTCAGCTAGCTGAGCAGCTTTCAGCTATAATCTCGCAGCTTTCAGCTAGTTTTGCCAAACAAAACCTAAAAATAATGGAGTAGTTTCACTAAAATGGCCTATTGTTTCCCATCTAATCACTTAAATAATCCCACTTGTAAAACGCTGCACATAAATGACTCATAGTGTTTTTCTGTTAACAAATACTGACACCATCATATATTTCTCGTAAAGATGTAAAGATGAAAATAACCAACCCCCCTACTTTGAATGCATAAATGAGTTCAGTGTATGGTTAAACGTACACTCAAAAAAAAAAGTAAAAGTAAAAGTTGGTTGTCTACGAGAACAGACAGGAATTATTTGGAACCAAACCATTAATTAAAAGAATAAGAAAACAAAGAAATCAGTGAGATTATTTGGATTGAAGCTGGACAGCCTAACGGTGGTTACCGCAAATAGACAGGCAAAGGGCCACTTGATAAATAGCAATCGGAGAGGTGTCCACATCAAAGCCAGCTCCTAAACTAGGAACTAACAAAATGTAATTCCACATCAAAGCCAGCTCCTAATCTTGATCATGAAAAGAACTCGTGCCTTTAAAGCGAGTATGATATATATTCCTCCAAAATTGGTGTGTTTAGGTTTAAGAACGTGTAGATCAAGTTCAACGGAGCGGATCGCAAAAAAAAAAAAAAGGAATGATGTGATTTTAGGCCGCGTCCTTAGGTGGGAGCCTAGGGTGTCACCTTAGATTCACTTTTCCCATATA